GCCAGAATCTGATGAATGCCAAGTCTATTTGGCTTCACATAATTGTCACATAAACCATGGGCAATTTCCTCCTTTATATTATGTTCTTTGTACAAGCTTCTTTTAAAAAGGTTAAGTTGAATTTTTGTCTTTAGTCTAAATTCATGGCATTCATGCTATCAGGCCCTTCTCTCTTTTATAACAATTTATGAATATTTATTTGACTTTTATTAGCACTTCTACCCCAGTTCACTTTCCATTACCAATCATTCTCGAGTTTTTAATGTTTATCACTTAGCTTTAAGTGTTCTTGAAAAATGTTTACTAGTGTCTTCTGTGTATGTACTTCTAATTTCCATAAATGCTATTGTGTTATTATCTCCATTTCTCACATTCATTTTACCATGCACTGGGCTTTGCTAAGCACATATACTCTGTGCCTCCTAAGGATACAGAGCACTCCATGGTGAGCACCTATTACACTTATCTACTTTCTCCTCCACAAATTCAATTCCCCATTACCACAAACCACAAAGAAAATCCTTGTGCATATCAATTTACTGCTTGTGTAAATCGAAAGGAGATCTTACAGATGTATTCCAAGATACAGAGTTGTTGGAATAGTTTGTTCCTTCATGATTATGTTCAAGTGTCTCTTTCTGGGTAAATAGTCTATAAGAATAGCTTGTGTGATGCAGTGAACATCTCTCTACCCTTTAGCAAGATCACTGCTACTGTTTTGCTATATTGGATTGATAGTCTAGCCATCTATCCCTCTATTTGGCTTTCATTCCCCATTTAAATGTTCTCACATAAATCTCCACCATGCCTTCCTAAGAAGGAAATCTCACTAATAGCCACTATGCTATTCTCTAATGCACAGTCCATATGCAAATGTCTAGGTCAGGGTTCAGAAAATATTTTTTGTAGAGGGCCAAATAGTAAATCTGTGAGCTTTGCAGGTCAGTCTCTTCGGCAACTACTCAACTTTGCTGTGATTGAGCAGATGCAGACACACACAATAAATCACACAAATGAGGTGGTGGGATCTTAATAAAGCACAGTCTTATGCCTTAACAGAAATTGACTCCATGTGGACTAAAGACCTAAAACACATAGAAGAAAACATAGGTAACAAGCTCTTTGACATCTGCTCTAGTGATATCTTTGTATATCTCCAGTGGCTAAGGAAACAAAACCAAATATAGGTAAGTAGGACTGTATCAAATTCAGAAACTTCTTTCTGAATAGTAAAATAGGCCACTGTTAACAAGGCAAAATTCAGAATGGAAAAAGTTATCTTCAAATAATGTATCATACAAGAGACTAATATCCAAAATTTAGAAAGAATTTTTTAAAATTCAATAAAATAAAAACAGATAACCCAATTGAAAATGGGGATCTAAATAGATAGTTCTCCAAAGGGAGATATACAGATAGCCAACAGGCACATGAAAATATGTTCAATGTTTCTTCATGCTAGAAAATACAAAAAAACCAACCTCATACCTCTGAAAATGTCTATCATCCAAAAGACAAGACATAATAAGGGTTGATAAGGAAGTGGGCAAAAGAAACCATTGTAGACTGGTAGCAGCAATGTAATTGGTGCAACCAATATGAAAAACAGTATGGAGATTCCTCAAAAACTTAAGAATAGAAATACCACATAATTCAGCTATTTGTATTGAAGAATACAAAAACACCAATTCAAAGAGATATATGCACCCCTATGTTCATTGCAACATCATTCCAAAAGAGTTGGAAACAACCTAAAGAGCCTATGGAAAGATGTGTGGATAAAGATGTGGTATACATACACAATGGAATACTACTCAGATGTTAAAAAAGATAATGTTATGCTAAGTGAAATAATTAAGGCAGAGGAAGACAAATACTACTGATTTATGACTTCACTCATATGGGATAATGAAGCAAAACAAATGCATGAACAAAACAAAATAAAAACAAACTCTTAGACTATATTAAAAACATAGTAGTCACCAGGAGAGAAAGGGGCAAGGGTGATGTCATTTATGCAACAGGGATCAATTATATAATGATTGTTGGAAACTAGTGGAATAGTCCTATTACAGACATCATTGAATGTTTGGTGGTATGTATAATGTAGTGGTGGAATGGTTGGCTTTTTAAAAAGTAATTGGCACAAGATTATATTTTAGAATTAGTAAATCTCACAATTCAAAATACAATACAAAGATCACTTTTGGTTTTGAACAGGTTTTGTCATAGATTACATTGGATTACAGTACTCAATCACATATCATTCTACTGCTTACATTTCATTTCTGTGGATCTACTTCCTACAGATCTACCTTGTAATTCTTTATTTGAAAAGCATCATTATCTACCATAAATATTGCAGTTTTATCTTTCTTTCACAGTCTTCTATTTTAATTATAGTAAAATATACCTATAATTGACCATTTTGATAATTTTAAGTGTCTAAGTGCATTCACACTGGTAGGCAGTCATTGGAAATAGTTATTTCCAGATATTTTTATCTTCCTCTACTAAAGCTCTGTACACACTGAAATTCATCCTTCTTCCCTAGGCCCTAGCAAGGATCCTTCTACTTTTAGTTTCTATAAATTTTATTAGTTTTTGTGCTTCATGTAAATAGAATTATACACTGTTCTTTTATGGCTTACTTACATAGCACACTATCGTCAAGATTCACGTATATTGTAGCATGTGTAGAATTTTTCAAGGCTGAATAATATTTCATTGTATGTGTTTACCATTTGTCATTTATTCAATCATCTGTTGATCAATCCCGGGATTGCTTCCATCTTTGGCTATCATCAATGATGCTGCTATGTACATGACATCTAGATCAATCCTTAAAGTAGTAATTTTCTTTTTGTCTAGTGATTAGAATGGGGGATAGAGTCTAACAACAAATATAGGCTTAACATGCCCCATTTAGCATACTAGTATGAGTTAGAAATTAAATCAATAGAAGATATCTATAAAAACAATCACATTATCTTTCTTCTGTCTCATACTGCCACTGGAGTGATCTATTTAAAATATAAAATGAATCATGCTCGAGGGTTTTGCCTTCGGCAAGTGTTGTTGGCATGGTAGCAGAGCCAGCTTCCAGAGGAGCTCAGGGATTGAGAAATCAGGTAGAATGGGTTTTTTTTTTTTGATTTCAGCTGCCACTGCAAAGGAAGGAGTGACAGCTAGTTCATGGATACCTGTGAGCAGCGCCAGGTACACTGTGCAATATTTAGAGATAGCTACTTTAAAGACTAGAATTCTTGCTAGAAACAATGGGGTTTGAAGCCCACTTGGTCTAGGCCTAGTTGTAAACCTGGCTTCTTTGGTTTTCACAGGTTGGTGAAAGCAAGGGGACATTAATTACAAAGGCACATACAAGCTTTAACTGTTGTTAGAGTGAAAAGATGCAAATGTACAGGGGAAATACCACCCATGAAGGACACGGCCAGTGTGTGCTCATCACAGGAACTTTTCCCAGGACAGCAGTTATGTTGGCTCTTAAAAATGCTCCTGCAAGGAGCCTTGAGCTCAGATCACCAGTCTCAGGGGCAGCCCATGGCACGTGAGCCCTGAAGGCTACACATAGGCCCACGACACCCTTCCTGATCCAGGGAACCCAGGAACCTCATTCTTACACCACTCCCCTGCTCTTTGGAATTGGCCTGCCTCTTCACATTTGGTCAATTTTAACAAATTGTAAAATTTGACAATTTGCCCAAGCTAATGTGGTTCCCTGGGATCAGAACACAGACATGCCTTTCTGTTTTTCTTTATAGAGATGATGCACAATAACATTGCCTGTCACATAAATATCACAACATTTTTACTGAATATCACAGCTTTTTTTTTTAAAGGTTTATTTACTTTGGGCCCTCTCTGGTGTTCAGCGGGTTAAAGCACAGCACCAAGATTTATTTACTTATTTGTTTATGCATACAGAACTGGGGTACAAACCAGAGGTACAGGAGCAGTGAGAGGATTCACCAGAGACAGAGTGGGGAGCAGAAGAGGCAGATCGAGGAAGTACATTGCTAAGGGAGCAACGGGCGGGCCAGGAGAGGTCTGCCATGCCATGTGGGTCATCTACGGGGCTGAGGATCAAACTTGCACTAAAGTAGCTGCAGCTAGCTTGCAGTGCTGCGTCCTTACCAGTTGCGCCACCAGGGAGGGCTTATCACAGCTCTTTTATCCCCAGTTCAGTGATGGGTCTGTCCCTGCACCATTTCTCCTCTCTTGTCACTTTGTGTGAGATAACCTTCCTGCCATCCATTTCCCAAATCCCAAGCCCTATGAACTTGAACTGCAATAAGCTTGAGCCACAGACCAAATGTCTAAATGTCCTGACCACAAAATCTCATAAATTGTGGGGTTGCCTCCTTGGGAAATGGTGGGTATGACTTCCTCCACCATATTTAATATCTGATGGAATTAATCTCTGAGGAATGTGTTGAAGGATATAGAGACAAAGTGACCAGAGACCTAAGGAGCCATTTTCTTCCCCACTTTCCAGGAATTTTGCAATGAATCATGTTCAATAAGTAAAAAAAGAAAGAAAAGAAACAGAAGGACATTTCCCTCTGTCTCCTATTGTGGGGGCTACTTTATTTGTAGAGAAGTGAGTTCTTATAAACCTCAGACATACACTTGGGAATCTGTGCTTCTGGGAAGCTTTGAGCTCTTCCCATAAAGTGCTGAAAGGACTGTGACTAGAAGCAGTTTCTACAACCAGTAAAAGCCAGACTGAATGAATTGAAAGAGATGTCTTTTTGCTCTAATTTTTTTTCTTCAACGACCCCCACCCCCATCTTTAAGAAAAAAAAAATCTTTTTTTTTTGAGCCTATACCAGACTAGTTAATAGAACAGAATAATTCTGGATACAAGCCTTGGTAAAATAGGAGAGTATAATGAGAGGCATTTGAATGGATGTCATTGTCTTTTACAAAGCATGCTTTTGTCTCATTGTTTTCACCTAAGACTTCTTGCAAAACAACAGGCTTTGAAAGTGCAAGATATGCTGCTTAACTCTTGAAGAACTGACAGACATCACACCTTTCCCAGGAGGATTGTGACTGGAGCTTCAATCATTTTTTCCCCTGTTTCTGTGCAGTAAGTGTGACAATTAGAGACCTGTTAGCTGACTGTCCTACACCTATTTCCAGTTGTGCCAGAGGAACTAAAAATATCCTGTGGTCAAACTATAGAGAGGCCTGGTTCTAAGGCCCTTGGCCGAGAGTAGCGAGGGGGAGGTCATGTTAGGCACAGAAACAGCAATGAGACTAACAAATAAAACCAGTACATCAAATTCCCTTCATTTGAAAAGGCTGACACTTTTTATAGTACACTTTGGGTGAAACAAACAAAAAAGGCCATTTCTAAATATAGTCAGCTTCTGTTGCCTATATTTAGTCATGTTTCTACTTAGTGAAAGTATCAGAATGTGTTTCGGCAGAAATGTTCACCATGATGGGTTTTTTTTCCCCCCGGTCACTTCCCTAATTTAAAGTTCTTGGGACAAAGACCTTAAGGAATATAACCAGAAAACCTGAGGAATCCTTCTTGGATCTTGCGGACATTTACTTAACAGAAATTGGTTGAGAGCCTGATTTAGGGATGGTTCTGAGTCTCTGTTTCTAATCAGTTTTCATGTGTAATCTTTTATTCTTAGAGCTCTTCAGGAAATCCCCAAGCCTTGGAGAAAAAAGGTACTGGTCTCTGATTTGCTTCCACTCCAGGAGAGACTGTGTAGGCCACTAAAGAGCGCTGTTTTGGAGAAATCTTGTGAACTTTGAATGTGTTAATACTCAGAGTCTTGCACAGGTGAGTGTGCAGTAAATGTCAGCTATCTTTAGTGGTGGTAATAGTATATGGTACACTGCATACAAATACATTTGTATACACCAGTATACTTTATATCATAAAGACACGAAATAATTGTCTTCTAACATCGAATCCAGCACTCTCTAAGTCCCAAAGTCCAAACAGAAGCAGAAACAATCTTTTTCTTTCCTTTGTTATTCTCATTCTGGTAAAACAGACAAGACAAGAAATGTACATTTTCACCAATTGTAAGTGTATATTTCAGTAACATTAAGTACGTTCACATTGTTGTGTGACCAGCTGCACCATCCATCTCCAGAACATTTTTTATAGTAAAACTGAAACTCTACTCACTAAACAATAACTCCCAGCCTCCCTCCCCTTGGCTCCTGGCCTGCATCTGGGTGAACTTGGCTACTCCAGGTAGCTCATGTAAGTGGAAGCATTCACTGTATTTTCCTCTCATGTCTGCATTGTTTCACTTAAATGTCTTCATGGTTCATCTCTATTGTAGCATGTGTCAAAATTTCATTCCCTTTTAAGGCCGGATAAGGAGGCTTCATTTTAAAATCGAAGTATTTTGGGAAGACCATATGGCTGTAGCTTACACAGGCAATTATTTCCAATCCTCTCTTCTTTCTCCTAGCCTCATGTATGAATATTCTAATGAGGCCTAATGATAGGGTTTCTGCATGGTGTCCTTCCTCCAGGAATGGCCTTTCCCTTGAACTGGGGCTGTGGAGTCATGCAGACAGACCAGCGTGTGTATCTACATTCTACCACTCATGATAGTTATTATCTTGGGCATACTGTTAGGTTAAACTATGAGATACTACTGATCTTTAATAATTTTTATGTATAAAAATGACAATTTTGTGGGCCCTCCCTGGTGGCGCAGCGGGTTAAAGCACAGCACTGAGAAGCTAAAGCCACTTCCGCATGAGTTCGATCCCCGCCTGCCCCGGAGGTGACCACATGGCGTGGCAGACCTCTCCTGACCTGCCCGCTGCTCCCCTCAGCAGTGTACTTCGTCGATCTGCCTGTTCTGCTCCCCCTCTGTCTCTGGTGAAGTCTCTCACCCTCTGTATCTCTGGCCTGTACCCCAGCTCTATATGAATAAATAAATAAATCTTTAAAAAAAAAATGACAATTTTGTGACTCAACCTAACGCTTCACCTCCCTGCTCCTCAGTTATCTTAGGTAAAATATAAAATAGTGCTTGCCTCATAGGGTTACTGTTGAGAACTGAATGATACAATGTGGGTGCTGGATTTAGTTAGCGCTCTGCCAAGATGTAAGGTTGTCCTGGTGGGAGCTGTGTGGGGGTGCCAATTTTGGTAGAGGAGCCTTTTCTCACAAGGCCACCATTACTGGGGTCCCCAGCTCGCCTTTACCACCTCTCCTGCAGCTGTTTGATTCTCCCTTCAGCATTAGCTCAAGGGCATGAGAGTCAGCCAGCAATGAGAGCTATTTTCCTGACACTTCATTTTAGAGGGCATAGTTCATTGAACAAAATAAATACTAATCCGTATCTTTATGGAGTTGATGTCCTGGTCGAGGAGGAAAGAAACAAGATAAGTGAGACAAATATATGGTAATATGTGAGAAGAGCTGCAGTGGGAAGAGGACAGAAAGCTTCAGGGGCACCTTGGATGACAGGAAACACAGGTTGGATGCTCATCCTCCTCAGGCCTTTCTGCACCACTCTCCAACTCCCGCTCATTCTCATTTCCTTCCTTCTTTTTTTCCTGCTTCCCTTCTCTCTTTTTCCCAGTTTAAATCCTGGGCAGCTCCCGTGGCTTACTTGAAACTGCTTTGCAAGGGTGACTGCATGCTGACTCGGCAGAGCTCCCTGAATTAGGGATTCCAGAGAAGGCTCCTTCACTCCAGGTCTGCTAGGGAATGCTGTGTTCAGCTGTCCTGGCTCAGCATCCGTTATTAATCAGGCTATCTTGAACTTTACCAGTGTGTTCTGTCTGCCTTTTACCCCTTCACAAGCCCAAAGTCTCCAAGAAGCCTTCAGTATCCTTGACATTTAACCCCCCTTTCAGATCTTAGTGAATGATGTGACTGTTACACCCCCTCACCTGAGCTTCTGTTGCCCCTGGCTCCAGCCCAACCTGATGCAGACCACTCCCCAGTAATTCATGGGGAGATTATTCCACTTCCTTTCCGCAATATCATGAGTCTCTCTAAGGCATAAAATCTAGTTTATGAAAAACACACACAAGGTCACAAACATTAAGCTGATTTGTTTTTGTTATTTTGAAGCTCCTTCTCTGGGAAGGGAAATGTTTCTGTGGGTCCACAGGGAGGACCGGGGTAGTAGCTGATAGTGCTCTGGAACCTTCCTACCCCAAGGACTTGTGGGTTGTTGATGGAGTTGAGATGAGCCTGGTGAGTGGTGGCTATGTCTTTGTGACTCTGTCTCTCAGGTACACCACTGACTCAAGCATTTGCTCAGAAAATGCTGCCTCATCCCTAATGACTGCTCAATCAGGAAAATATTATTTTCAGATGTTTTAAATTTGTGCACTGAGAAACATATGTTCTGCCATATGGAGCACAATAGGAGCTAGCTAGGGCCAAAGTGGAAACCAGAATTGGGAGTTCTCTTTTTTCTGTTTGAAGTTAGACCCTGTAGGCCAGATCTTGCCAGTGAGCAGCCTCAGCTGTGCTCTATATCACACTATGAGTGCAGCTCAGAGAAGCGACATGTGCGGCCAGACAACTGGATGCCCTCTCTGCTGGCAGTACACCCATTTAGGAGACTACCTTGGTGCTGCTGTGACTCCAACTGGAAAGCAAGTCACAGACAATTTTGCAGATACTACACATATATGTACATATCTCTACATGCTAAGATAATTGCACAAAGGTTGCACATGTGAAAATACGTCTGGTGTAATTTTGACCTTTAGTTTTGAAAATAAAGCTTTTGGAATTATGGTACTAAGCATGGTGGACTTTTGACGTTAACCCGAGAAAGGGACACTATTATGAAAAATAAATAAATAGATAAATTGGACTTCTGTGGTGGCACAACAGGTTAAAGTACAGCCCTGCAAGTGAGCCAGCTGCTTCAGTGCAAGTTCAATCCCTGCCCGGAGGTGACCCACAAGGCGCGGCAGACCTCTCCTGATCCACCCGCTGCTCCCCTCAGCAGTGTACCTTGTTGATTTGCCTGTTCTGCTCCCGCTCTGTCTCTGGTGAATCCTCTCACTGCCTCTGCACCTCTGGCCTGTACCCCAGTTCTGTATGCATAAGTAAATAAATCTAAAAAAAAAAAGTGACGCAGAGGCTGAAATGGAAAAACTGGGAGGGGGATGGGAGTGCAAGTCATAGAGAAAAACAACAATCCATGGTGATGAGTCAAGAAGATGATTGACCTGACTTCATAGAGATGGCAGGGTTGCTGCTATTGCCCAGTCGTGGTTGATGTCAAAGCCCTATTCTCAAAACAAGGGTGTACACTGAGTATGACCACAGGCTTAAAGCTGGTCACTTGTCTTCCTACTTCTCCTTTTCTTCTTCTGTTTCCCAGCCTGGGGCCATGGTCTCTGTCCTCGGGCGAGCATACCTAGTCTACACCTGTGCTTTGGTATCAGCTGCTTGTCTTGGATGGGTATACAACGAGACAGGCAAAAGAAAATTATAAACGGTATACATGCTTGGGCTTTCAATGCTCTTGATTATATGTATTTTAATCAAATGCATGCCTTTGTTGTAATGTAGAACTTTTCAAGTAAATTTTTTAAAACCTGAACAGCTCTTTTTTGAACAGTAGAATCAAAACAAAAAATAATGTTATATTATGGGAAACGGAGCATCCACTGTCTGAACCCATGAAAAGCCTGTTTGCAGTCAATGTACTTTGGGAATGTACTGGTGTCTTCAGTCAGGACTCTTTAGCCTCCAAATCATATGACATTGGAACTTCAGAATTTTCCTATTCTAAAGTAGCAGAGGGTTTCTTGAACGTTTTCTCCTGACAAGCTTGGGACAGGCCTTTTCAGAGCACGGTGGTGGACCTCACACATTTCAGCTCCACCTTTATTTTGAAAAGTAAGCTTCTAAGGTCAGTCATCTTTACTAACAGGACACTACATAGAATGCGTGAGGCGTTGCACTCCATTCTGAGTGCTTAACAGCTCTCAGGTTGAACACTCCAATTAGCCTCTAAGAACCAGTCCTGGTTTGAGAGCCAACTTGTCCACGCAGCTTTTCCCTGCTCTTTACTGAGTGAATTCATTGCTGAAAGAAAAGTCAACTTTATGTCTGCTGCTTTTTCAGTTTCTGTTCAGGGCATTGGTGTTGTGTTAATCAAAGTCTCATGGGAAAGCTAAGGGCTGGTACTTATACTCAGAGCGAAAGAGCTACAGTTGACTAGGGTATGGGGCTTCTTGAAATGCTATGAATTGCGTTGTTGGTTAGTATAAAGTTACCAAAGCAAAAGTCTTGTGTCTGTTTTCTCACACATTCAGAGTTAATATCCATCACATAGAGATGGGAAAAAATCAAGGAAGAAAGGGGGAAAGGCAATAAATGTTCAGCTGGAATAAGAATAAACTCCTCTGAATAAGCTGATGATTTTTCCCCCCATAGGCCTCACATGGGGCAATCTTTCATTTAACCATTTTAATGTTAAATTAAATGATTAAAAAGCTACATGGTCACTTAAAAAGATTTGTTGGATAGGGGTTTTCATGCAAGATGGCAGAATAAAAAAATGTTGAGCATATACTCTTATCACTTTATATTAACATAATGAATTTGAGATGTTCAGTCAATTCCTTTAAAAGAGAGGATAGAAAAAAAAAACAAAAAAACAAAAGCAGCATTCCAATGAAAGCTGAGAACTCCCTTCACCTGGTCAA